CTGCTGCTGGGCACGAGTTCCCTCACACCTCGCAGTGGGACACAGCATGACTGGACAGGAGTTGTCCCCAGAAGCAGCACCCTGCACCTTGCTGGGATTGGCAAATAAAGGGGGGTTGTGCTGCCCCAGCACAGTTGGGTTAACGGTTGCAGATGGGGATTCTACCTCCAGAGCAGGACAAAAACGCAGGAGTGCTGGCTGGGGGCCTTTTCCACATGTAGCCAAAGGGAATCATGGTTCCCCACCAACCTGGTGATGTCTAAGCTGGTTTCCCAAATACCGCTGAGCTTGGCAGAGGTCTGCCTGCTTGCTTCACTTGCTTTGGGCTGCAAAATATATATATATATATTTTTTTTTTAAGGTGCTAAAATCCAGGTCCTTATGTGTTAAATATGTCCTTTGCTGCCCCAGACCTCTGGCTGTGCCTGGAGTCTGGCCTTCAGGCACACCCCTGTCCCCCTCCAGCTGCCAGAGCACTTGGTCCCCCCAGGGGAGCAAGGCAGGGAGCTTGTGCTGGGGTTAGGGACAAGAAAGCATCTGTGTGTCCTGGGGACCGTGCAAGGGGCACAGCTAGCAATGAGCAACATATCATTAGGGGCCACGTGCAATCTGTCTCCTGTCTTCAGCTGTGCAGTTCCCTCCCTGTAGCAGGTGCCCCGCCCCACTGGAAAGAAGCAGCTGGGATGTCAGACCCCACAGGTGATGAAGGGGAAGTGGTGCAACACAGGTCTGAGCTCAGGAGTGCAACTGTGAGGGCCCCTTTCTGGGGAGAAATGGGAGCCTGAACGCAAGTAACGGGCAGGTGACCTCTGCTCTTCCTTCCCTCCAGGCCCATGGAGTGAAAGGCAAAAGCAGCTGCCCCTGCTCCGGCCCTGGGCTGGGCCTGGGCTGCCCGGGCTGAGGGAGCTGGAGAAGGGCAAGGCTGGAGGCAGTGGCTTTTGAAATCATATGGACTAAGGTGCTGACCCTGCTCAGGCAATGGAAGGCTAAACTGCAATCCTTTTAAATGCTGTCCCCCGCTGGGCTGCAGTGCTGCCTCCTGCGGAGGGGCAGGTGTGGGTGGGCACATGCTGCTCCCCTGCGCCGCTGCTGGTACCTGGCATGCTTCTCAGGGGTGGAGGTACCTCTGCTCCGTGGCAGGGCAGGTGAAT